GGTAGTCTTGAGCAGAGAACTGAGAAGCAGGGTGTGAGGCAGGGGAAGAAGAAGGAAACCTGAGATTTGCAGGGCTGCTTCCTTGCACCAAAGCAGCATGAAGAGCTCTCAGCTCCACTGCTTTGGCAATGGCAGCTTGAATTTCTTGCCTGCTAACTTCATTTTTGATACTGTTATTATTACTCTCTTGGTCCCGAAATTTTTTTCTATCTGTAGTAAAAGCAGCCATGAAAAACAGAGAAAAGAATAGAGCAGAGCATATACAACCAGGGGGTAGAACAAAGCAAGAGCTGTGAATTTGTTCAAGGAGAGAAAATAACAAAGAGCGTTAACAAGTGGGTATACAGCGCTTGGATTTGATTTGCAGAGAGGAAAATCATATCTACAGTAGAATCTTGGAAAACCAGAGAACTGAGAGAGAGAGAGAGAGAGAGAGAGAGAGAGAGAGAGAGATGGGGAGCGAGGGGTAGCCTAAGGGCTAAAGCCAATGAGCTTTTGTCTTGGTTCTTAATGGATTTGGTGGAATGAGAGCATGTGAAGCAGAGAGAGAGAGAGAGAGACGGGGTAATTCTCAAGCGCGGTTTCAGTATAAACCGAGATGACCAAAATGCCCCTAGTTTCTTAAAATAACCATGCAACCCAACATGAGGTGGTGGTACTACTGTGAGCACATGACATGATTGCTTGGTGCTAGTATTAGAAGATGTTCTTCCACTACCAGATCAAAATTTTCAAAATGATGGACATGCCCACTTTAATTCTGAAAATCCTCTATGTAATCATAGCAATTGTTGTTGGTCTCTCAAAGTTCATGTGCATATCGATTGCACATGCTTCTTTTCTTTCAAAAGGTCAAGGAATTCAAATTGGGTTGAAAAAACCTTTTTCTGGGTGTGGTGGAGTTAGTTTTTGTTTTTCTTATACGAGACATATTGAGAGAAAAGGAATTCGAACACAAGACCTCGAGTGTAGGGGTGATTGCTTTTTAACCACTTGAGCTACATGCCTCTTGCTGGTGGAATTAGTTTCTGAAAGGAGGATAGTTTGGTCTATGCGAACAAATTTCTGAGCTGTCCAAGGGCCGAAAGGGAGTAGGGGAATGGGGACAGAAAATATCCAAAACCTTCCAAACACTCATTGTCTTGCTTTTCTGTAACGAGTGAATCTTGTAAAGCCTGGTGGTGCTACAGCGGGGACCAAATGGGTCTTCCTCCTCCTCCCCCTTCATTACCAGTAGATTTACCAAACTGCCCATGCTCCATTTCAATGTTGTTGGACGTCATGGGCATTGGGCATGGAGGAAGAAAAGCTAATGCCCTGATCTTTTTGTATTTTGGAAAAAGGAATTCCATGTAGGTTTTAGGAAATTTTTAACGTTGAGTTCGATGTTTCATGTAAGTGCTTTTGTTAAAGAATAATTTTTTTTAGTGAGATTAGCTTTCTGATCACCAACCACCCACCCAAAAGCTAGTGTGGTTTGTCAACCTCCACACATGCAAAAAGTGTTTTCTTCCTTTCTTTAATCCACTTAATTAGTTTCAGAATTATTGTTAAATCAATCACAAAAGTAATCCTTCTCGAAAATAAATACATGGAAACAAATGTTTTTAAGCACACAATAAAATCTGTAAATCTTGGAGTGGGAGCAGGTGGATAGCTACACTTCGATGAAAAATTGTTGAATTAGTTTCTAGGTTATCTAACATGAGAAGTTAAACAAGTTGGGTTTGAATTAATTAAAACTTGACACACATGCGGTTGATGAGCATCCCTATGAGCACAATGTGGTGTGACAAAATCCAACATGGTAAAGACATGATATGACTTATGAGATGTAGTAGTTACGTGTAAACTTAAAAGTGGTAGACATAAAGGCGATGGCTCTTAATCAATTAGTTTTTGGCATAAATGGTATTTCACTTTTCAATGTTGGAAAATATTTGGAGTTTGAATCTTCCATCCCGTCTCATATATCTTCACTCCAATAGAAGAGCTAGACTCTTATCCTCCTTTTCTTTTAAGTTAAAGAAAAATAACGATGTACATAGGAAGCGAATAAATAGATTGAGTGATTGCTGATATATGAACTCAAATATCTTAGGATTAAAAGGATCAGTATTAGCTCATATATTATTCTCCTTTAATGAGCTGATATGACATTTTTCCCTCTTTACATAATAGAACTCGTACCATCATGTCGCCCCCAACATAAGTTTGTAGTTCGTACTTTACATAATATGACATTTTACCCTCTTACATAATAGAACTCGTACGAATTGATTTTACATCGACATTGTTTCATTGGTTGGGTGAGTACAATCTTATATTAGATTCTAACTCTTGATTGGGGAGAAGAACTTCATCTATAACGGGCATGTTTTTGTGGTGGTATTCTAAGCCAATCACGAACGCATAATAATGCTCGATTGTCTTTAAATACCGACAGAGTATTATTCCCTGTGTATGTTAGTTTTTCTCAATATTGTGGGATACAGTCTCTTTTTCTCCCAAAGCCAGCTAGCATTGAGTGAAAGAAACAAAGAGAGCTCGCCTCTGGTCTCTTTCACCCTGCGCCAGAAGGAATATAATAAGAACAGCTTATTAAAGATGCAACCAAGTACTCCAAGCAACAAGTATACAGCAAACATTATTGCAGCCAAATGCCCACCACAATCTAAACACCTC